GTAATATATATATAAGTAATATATACTTACTGATTAGTTGAGGACTAAACAGACCCTGAAAGGAAAGATGTGCATGCTAAGAAGACTCACAAAATGCACTCTTTTAAAAGGAAGAATGGCTGTGTATGTCGGGATAAACTTGTTTATAATCCAAGTTTTCTACAAGATTGAGCACGCTACCTTATTTTCTCAGTTCTTCTATCAGAAAATTGGAAATAAGGCAACTAACTACCGTTCCCTTGTGTGCTTTGTTTTTAAATTAGAATCTAAGTGTGTTGAGAGGGCCACTGTTTTCTGCTATATTGCTTTTACAGTAGAAGAGTAAGACGGGTCTCTTTAGGGATCTTTAACCATTGCAATATAACAAATGGCAGACAACAGTAATATTTTGCTTAGCTTGGCTAGTTCTCTTCATGGTTCTGAGGAAAGTCTTTAGGATTCCCAAGGCCTGACTGATTCAGATGGACTGGTAAATGTAATAAAACTCCTCCACTATGACTTCAAGATCCATACAGGCAAGGCAAGGGCTGGTGCAGTAGCAGAGAGACAGCTCTGCTGAGCATGCCTGACTTGCCATGAGGTGTAGAGAGGCAACATGCACTAGGTCATGTGCAACAGCAGTAACTCCCCCCTTTCTTTCTCCCTCCCCACATCCCATGACTAAGACAATTTTCTGTATCTGTCTGCTGCTGGAAGGGTATGTTTTGACAACTCTTCAGTTCTGATTATAATTTGACTAGACACAGTGCATACAGGCATAAAGCCACATTGATGCTGGAGTTTGACAAGCCTTTTACTATTGGTTGACTTTTCCCCCACCCTGCATAATCCTTTGTGGTCTTTGTTTCTTTCTTAATGATGATTTATTTTACATGCTTTGGTACTATTTATATTTCCCCTTCTTGGTTCATTTCACAGCATTCACCTCTAACGAGCCAGTCAATACAGTACACTTTGATTTTTAAAAAGCTTTCAAAAAGCTTCCTCACCAAAGGTTTCTGAAGAAAATGCACACACGGGATAAGAGGGAAAGTCTTTTGAGGTATTAGTAGCTGGGAAAAGCTGAGGGGAAGGGAGAGAAAACAGTAAGAAGAAAAAAATAATTTTTGCAAAGACTGTTACTATGAAGATTTAGTGACATAAGCAGTCTACCTCAAGCTGTCACATTCTGTTCAACAGAGTTGTAAGGAATTTCAGGTTAACAAGAGTGTGAAAAGCTATGAATAAGAGTGTGAAAAGCTATGGACTATGAAGAGTTAAAGAAAGCCTTCATAAAGCAGCCTGACTAGGCAATAAAATGGAAGTTGAAATTTAATATTGGTAAGCATAAAGCAGTATCATTACGTGTATATTAAAGATGAATAAAACCGGAAGTGCTCCAGCATTACATCATGCTATTGATCAATCATTTTATGAAAATAATCAGGGTCAGGAGGCTTGGTGGAAAAGTTTCAATTTTGGCTGTTACAGATACATTCTGAAACTCTTTAGAGATCAACCTGTAATTGTAATCCTACTGGAATAATTGTGGCTGCCTTAATGGAAGACTTTATCCAAATTTGTTCTATGTTTTTTAAACTTTTGTCACTTTCTGTCCGATGATCAAGTCTGCATTCAACTTCTTGGCTTCCTGTTAAATTGGAAGGATATTTAAAGAAAAAAGTCTCTTACTGAAACCAGAAACTGGGGGGGCTGTTTCAGTTGGATAGAACAGCTGAGAAACTGATTTCTTAATTTCTTTCTGTAAAAGAGCTCCTTTAACAGGTGGTGACTAGCGGTGAACAGAGGTTGGCAGCTTTAGAACAGGTAGAAATAACTAACAGAGAAATTAAAATGTCCCAAAATTCACAACTAATTTGATGTACTTTCTTGATTTCTTTCTTCCTGTAATACTTCCAGAACTCTATGCATAGTCAGTAAAGATTGCTTATTTGAAATTGATGTGTACATTATACTTATGTAACAAGACACACCTCATCTTTGCGGTTAGCTATTTCTGCTGGTCATTTTTTGCACTGCATCTCAGATGAGTTTATTAGTAACTCAGAATTACTGCTGCAAAATCCTGTTTGTGTATATTGGGAATCCTATTATACAAGCACTGGTGGTATTAAGAGTAGAAAACCCCATGCTAATACAATTCCTTCTAATGGCTGTACTTTAATAGTGAATTGCAATGAATTCCAGCTGGATCAATTTCTTTAAACTCACTGTAATTCCTTCTGACCTAACTGATAATTGAATGTTCTTCCCCTCCCAAGCTTGCTAATGGATGAACATACAGAGAATGCTTTAGTGTAATGTGGACAAGAAAAACATTCATTATGCAGAATGAAGCCTATATCTCTTCTCTACTCAAAGTTACCCCACTGGTTCTCAGGCAGATTATTTGTGAATGAACAAGAGGTGAGGGTAAAAAAAGAGGGCCCAGGAAAGCTTTAGGTAACATATAACCAGCGTAAGTAAACTGCTTATGTATTTAAAATAGGAGATGTTAATCTTTCTGAGTGACTGTATAGGTTTAAAAGAGAATGCATTATAGTACTGTTTCAAAGTGAGTCAGACTTTAAGCTTTGTAATCAGTGCTTTCTTAGGCACTTTCCAGGGTCATAGTGTTCTAAGGATGAAACTTCAGTGTTATTTTCAATTAACTTTTTAACAAACTTTCTTTATAATTTAGTTTTAATAACTGTACATTTTGGGAACTTTTTACTGTTCCCATGTCAAAACAGGTATCAACCATAATGGAAAGCCTGTTTATGTACTGATTTTTTGCTGCAGACATAATTCTGAGTGAAACTAAGTGAGGGACGGAAAGGAGAGGAAAAACAACTGGAAGTTTTATACAGATTGGAGGTGATCCGTGTCCATATAGGGCTTACATCTTTGCCAATCAGATCCTCTTGGTTTTCCACAATCCCCCAGGGAGCTATACCGATGGTGCAGATCTTCCCTCTAGATTTTGAGGCATGATCTTTCAGTGCATCTCCAACATGCCGAATGACTCCTGGGGAAGAAACAGCATAAAATGAGAATCCATAATTACGTCCTTTTTGTTCGTTATGGTATGGATTTAGTACAGAATTCTTGGAAACACCTATGCATATACTTATAATTAAGGAAAGCTATGAATATAGTCCTGTTGATTACTATTACTGTAATATTGTAAGTCTATTTTATCTGATCTAAAAAATATTAAAAGAAGTAGCAAGAAAAAATTACACAGCTCTAGAAACAGGAATGGAAATGTTGACAGCTGATTGTAACTTGTTTATCTGTTCTTGTCTTTACAAACATATATGCACACGTAAGCACTTGCATCCTTCCCAAGCACGGAAAGAAGAGCAAGAATTATACTCTCCATCTCCCAGCAAAAAAAAATTATGGCATATAAATGTTCCCTTCTGTCTGAATAAGGGATGAAAATGTAAAAACATCAATACACTACTCTGTGGTGAGCCATTCTACCATTCTTTCCAAACAAACAAACTCAGTCACCTGACATAGCTTCCAGTAGAGTATTAGAAGCCCCCTGAGGATCAGTGAGAAAACAAAAATTAGCACAGAAAGAATGACTGTGCCAGCTCTTTTCCAAGTGCTTTCTGATAATGCTCCTTGTATGCTTTAGGTCAGCTTTGTCTGTTTCAGTGGTATCTCAAGTGCCATTCCCACTTCCTTTTCAGAAAAAATACTTTTTTTTTTACCTGTGTATCAATAACTATTCTTGTGATGTGGCTGCACTGAAGCAGACTTGTGGATTGGCTGTGGATGTTATCTGTAACTCAGTTCTGTGCTTCTTCTTTGGAGTTCACACTTTCAAGATGACTGGATTGGAATTACAACAGTCACACAATAGATGTGATTTTAGCTGTAGTTTTTCTGCATTGTAAATGAACAATGTAAGAAAAAACTCCACAACCTAACCTTTAAGTCCAGGAGGCTAATTTCCTTCTTGTGGTGGAAAAGTTAAAAAACCAACAATCAAACCTGTACCTGCAATCAAGTATGAATTAATCTATGATCCAGCAACCCAAAAGATTCAAAGCAGAAAATCTCTCTTGACTGCAAAATATTCTGCAGCTTAGAACAATCAGCTTTCTGCCTCACATGAATATTCAGAACTATTTGTTTAAGTTACTAAACAGTCATGGTTATACCCAGGTATGCACCATTCCTGTCACATCACTGATTCTCAGTCCAACAGCAGTATTTCAGAATTTTTTGATTATACTTTTCCTTAAGAGAAATCTGATCCAAAAATTCATCATCAACAGAAAAGACTGTACTCAGAAATTCTGAATTTGTGCAATTTCATACAGAGACAAAACAATTTTCACCCCCACAGTTTGAAAACCTAGCCCCAGAGCAATAAACTGCTATGCTCCAGAAATCAAAACCAGCAGTGAGATGTAACTAGTGCTGCAGAAATGCTTCTGGAACTATATGTTTTTAAAATGACACTCAGCAACTTGATCTTTATTGTTTTATTTAGGTAATTTTTGGTTACACAAAAAAAAAAATCCTTTTCAACAGTAATTATGTGGACTTCCCTGGTTCATTTTTATTGTTTTGTCATTTGCAACTATGATGATTTGAGAAATGGTATGAAGCAGCCATGCATTTGCTAAATGCATATGTTACAGTCAGCCCTTGTTTACAAAATTTCCGTAGTTTGATTTCTACAGTTCCTGTAGAAATCCACTGCAATAAGTGTACAGTATCTACAGTTTTCTAATCTACTTTTAACTTAAAATTTATATGTCTTTGCCATCTTTACTACATTACTATGCTAACTAACAACTATTAACATCACAGTATACAGGTCAACATTTAACCTGATTTTCTTCCTTGTTCTGCAGAGATGTGAGGTTTATGTGACACTTCAGAAGCTATGCCTTTTTTCTGCTATTTATATTGGTACTGTAATAAAACTGAATATAGTTTTGTTGTGGTTTAAGCCCAGCTAGTAAATCAGAACAACGCAGCTCACTCCACCTTTCTTCCTCCCACCCACCATGCCCGGCAGGATGGGGAGGAGAATCAAAAGAATGTAACTTCACCGGCTTGAGATAAGAGCAGTCCAGTAACTAAGGTATAATACAAACCACTGCTGCTACCACCAATAATAATAATGATAAGGGAAATAACTAGGGGAGAGAATATAAAACTAAAAAGGAAAGGGAAAAATACCCACAATAAACAGAAGTGATACACAATACAGTTGCTCACCACCTGCCTACTGATACCCAGCCTGATCAGAGCAGTGATCTGAGCCTTCCAGGTAACTCCTCCCAGTTTATATGCTGGGCGTGATGTGCTATGGTATGGAATGTGTCCTGTCTCTGCTTCCTCCTGGCTTCCTGTGCTCCTCCTCACTGGCAGAGCATGAGACTGAAAAGTCCTTGACCAGGGTAAGTGCTACTGAGCAACAACTAAAACATCTGTGTGTTATCGGCATTGTTCCCAGACTGAAGTCAAAACACAGCACTGCACCAGCTACTAGGAAGGAGAAAAACAACTGTTACAGCTGAACCCAGGACAAGTTTTAAATTTTATGTGCTCTGGAAACTAAAAAGCCCAAGACTCCTATTAAGCATTCATATTCAAGTATGTAGGACCTGATCTAAAATGCACTAAATTTAATGCCTGATAGAGTGATTACAATATTTTCCATAGCCAATAAAAAGATACAGTCTGTGGGATTAATAAATTACTAAATTATAGCTTTGTTACTGCAGCAAATGAGAATGACACAAGAATCTACAGGTACCTGTCCTAGCTCAAAACTTTTTGCATTTATCTCTATCAAAGATAAATGTTTGACTTTCCCCTGAATCTCTCTTCCTTTCTGCCTCCTTCAGGGAGGGTAACTGAGAAGCCACTGCTCAATATTTTCTATCTGGGGAACCACATTTTGCTGCTTATTCCCAAAACCTTCATGCTTTCTCCCAGAAGAGCTGGGCCAGCTGCTATCTTGGGTCATTAGGACACCCATCTGAGATGTTACAGATGTTGTTTGAGTACAAATGTCAAAGTTACTGTTCTTGTTGCATGGGCAATAGAAAAAGAAAATAGACCAAGCCGTCTACAAGAAAGGAAAAAAAAAGTGATACTTATTCGCAATAAAATTTGCTACCACATCCACAAAACAGAGTCTTTCTTCCTTTCATGTTTCAGATCATCTTGTAAGATAAAATAAAGGTCTTTTCTGGATAAATGTTTTCCATTTTATGTAATAAGAGTTCAACTTCAGTTTCTAATTAGTAGTTACTCCCTGTAGCTTACTGTTATAGAGTCTTCACTGGCAATACACCAATATAATTGTCTTACAGGAGGCTTTATTTTCAGCCCCCCAGTGTGTTTTTCATGCTTTAGCAAACCTTTTATTCTCTGGCAGCTCTCAGGCTGGTATGAACTTGACATTTTTCTTGTTTGCACATAGTACAGCCAACACTAATAAAATAAAACACAGAATGGCTTCTTAATCTCATCAGCCCTAATTTTTTTCTGTGATGAACTCCTAGAAGCCACTGTGCTTTCATTTCAATGTTTCTGTTACCTGTGTTTACTCCTCCAGTGAATATCCATGCTCCAGTTGTCATCGCAGCCTTAATGAGGCCTTTTCCAAAGACTTGCTTGAGTTTTGGCTGAAGTTCAAAATTCTGAAGGCCCCCATGCACAGAGATGAGAAGTTTAGGGAGCTCAAGCTGCCACTCTTTGGTCATCAGATGCAGAAGAAGGTCAGGTTTTGTGTCAAAAGACACACGTACATACTGCAGGAATAAGGGCAGTCATGAAAAAAAAAAAGAAAGATTGGTTATACATATGATGTATGCGAATGGATCACTGAAAAAAGGCAATCTATATGACAGATGCACTAACTAAATGCTAACTTGATTTTTCAAAAGTTATGAAACTAGACAACTAGGAATAATGGAATACCTGCAATTCATATTCTGGACAGTTTTTCTTTATTTAGTCATTGATTGTGCTTAGCAATGCTTGAAAAATGTCTTTAATTTATGGATGTAAAAGCTGGAGCAAAGACTTAAGTGGTCTGCCAAAGATGACCTAGGTAGTCAAGAGTCACAACAGAGCATTCACTTTTATCTTATTTTCAAATTAACAAAGTCAAACTCTCCAAAGGTAGGAATTAACAGAAACAAACTTGGTTGTTCAAGCACAGGTCAGTTTAAACTGAGCAAGACTTCTAAACAGGTACTTGTCAGATGAATGACTTACAGAGTGATTTGTATAGGTTCATGAATTTGCCTAACAAGGTACAGGACCAGAAAGTGCTTTGGAACACATTTACACATTTGCAGCTCTTGGATTTTCTGTGTACATCTGTAGCATTTTCCCCAAGGTAGATCATGCTCATCTGTGTGATCTCAAAGAACAATTGTCGTCAAAATTTCTACATGATTAGCATGTCACATATATATACCTGTCTCTTCCTGACAAGTCTTTCTATTTGGGCTCTTTCTCTTGCTATTCCTATTGCTGTTGTATGGTTTCACAAAGCCTGTGACACAACAGATGATACTTTTTCGAATTCTAGTTACATATCAGATATGGGCCATAAGAGGATAAAATTCTCTCTATAGCTGTAAGATCTGGAAGGACCCTTTTAACTGAACAAAATAGGTTACAGAAAGCCACTCATCTGTCAAGCTTCTGATTGAAGCAATGCATATAGAGTTATTTCAGAAGTCCTTCCCTTGATGAGTTGTCAGCACAGCCACCAGGCAGATAAAGGCAACTTTCCTTTCAGTCAGATGAATCCCTAGTTCTAGCTTAATTATTGTAACATGCCAGGTAGTTTAATATCCACATATATTATGTAATCGTTTTCTCCTTTTTTAACATCTAATCAGTATTTATTTATTGCTAAATGATTGCTCTTTTTTAGTAAATTATATGACGGTCAAGTGGACTTCTTTCTAGATGAATGAGAATTAAGGACTTGACTTTTCCAGAAGAAATTGCTGATAGGGTTCTTCGCAAGAATGGGTTGTTAACAGCTGTTCTTAACATTTCTGGAAGCAGAAGACTGTTTGGACAAATAGTCACAGAGAAGCAAGGGGGGCACAGCCAGACTGAAAGCTGAGCAAGAACTTGGGAATGCACATTCAAGCCAGTGCATCAGTAATGTTCTCTGCAGCAGCCAGGCAACTTCATAAGAACTAATGGACAAAGCACATACAATATTCAGGTCTGGCAAGAGCATACTGTACCCTTAAGTTGTATATACATGAACCGTATTCTCAGTAGTTACTCATTCGATTTTCTGTGTGGGAGTTGAGAAAAATCTTGCATGGCACCTGATCCCACTGACCAGATGGTGAAGCTAACAATTTTGATTAGGATTTGAGGGCTGTCAAAGTTCTAACACATTAGCGGAGTGGTCCGGAGACTGATTCTTACCCATTTTGCCCTGCCCTTAGGAAAAGCTGAGGTTGCAAAGGGCTATCCCTTGTTACCACTTCAAGCATTAATAGATAGACAGTACCCTTCAGGGGGCCTACATGAAACCTTTGCTGGTCAAACTATGTGGTTTACGCTTCGGGATCACTGGTAACTTACTCTGTTTTATAGTGAAGACAGACTAGGAATTTTAAGAAGATAATTAAAGTGAAATCATATTAATAATGGCCATACAAATTTGCTGAAAACAGAGGCTACTGCACCATCCAGGATGGTATCAAGATAAAGGCACAAATTGCATCAGATGTGTATTATCTAATCCAGCCAGTGACTGGTTTTCTTTGATTCATTAGCAGTGTTTTATATCCCAGAATGTGTGACTTCCCTGACCCTACCTTCTTAAGCCTATGTATTAATTTTATTATCTACTAAGATGTCTGGATTTCGATAACTAAAATCTATATAGCAAATCACAAAGAAGAACAATTTTCTTACATGAATTTGAAATGTAGCCATCTTTAATTGCAAACAACTGCTTGTTCTTTATACGGCAGGCAAAACCCTCTATGCTTACAAGAATTTATTTTACTTTATAAAGAGTAAATTCAAGCAAAAATAAATCTAAGAGGTTTTTTCATGGAAATTGAAATTTAAATCATCATGGATAAACCTCACTGTTTTAGAAGGGAAATGGCATCAAATGTGATTTTCCTCCTGTGCACAGACTCAATTTTTTGACTGTCTAATCCATTTTTTGCTCTTACAGAGCCTATTTTCAGTTTGGTATGCCTGGGGTGACTCTTTTGCTATTACTTAATATCTTAACCAGTAAGTACAAAAGAATTCTTCTGTCATCACTTTCAAAGTATGCTTTAAATTACGAATAAACACTTCTAACACCAGTTTTGTCCATATTAAAAATTCTTTTTCAATCTTGAAGCAGAATATCCAGCCTTTTCAGTTTTCAGTTTAGAATATTGAGTATTTCTGTGGTACCTGATTTCTTTTGCTATAGACTCCAGAGGCAGATTTAATATGTAAATGTAAACCTAAGCTAAACCACAGCTCTGTTATCCTGAAATTCCATGCCAAGTGTATTTGTCAGCTGTAGAAATGATCAGTTCTAATAACAAATAATTCAATCCCTTCTTTATGGGAGTGGTGCATGGCTAGGATGCAAGACTTTAGTTGTTATATGTCAGCAGAGCAGGGCATGATAGGAAGCAAAAATACCGCTTCAACCACAAAACTTATGGACTGATCTGACACCTCAGGATAATGCTCTGAAATGATAAATCATCATGTTCTAGCTGTCATGCCCATTTGATCCCTAAACAGAAGTAGACAGCAAGGGCGCTGATGCCAATAGTTGTTTTACTTTTTTTTACTGGTTTTCTAAAACATAACTGTGCCCATCACCAGCCAAACAGCCAGATGCTTGCAAGCTGGATTCCCGTACCCTAGGGCAAAAGTCAAAGTTCCTGAGTGGCAAGTAGAATGTACTGTTACTCAGGCACAGCTGTCTCATTAAAGTACATGGTGAATGACCGCAGATGACAGTATCAGTGAATAAAATAGAAAAGATTCAGAATTTTATTGTATTTCTTCAAAGAAAGTATCTTCACAGAACATTTTGTGATCTGCAGTCTAAGGTTGCTCCATTGTTTCTCTCTGAAGCATGCAGGTGCTGGGTGGCTATTTCACCTACCTTAATTAAGATTCCATCACTGCAGACTCTTCTTCAAGCTAAAGATTGATTCCCTCAAAGTATGACCTTCACATAAAAAATAGCCCTCATGTAATTCTCACAGAATTCAGGAGAAAAACTGTCATCTAGACTGAAATTCAACTGGTTCCTTTCCCCTTTTTCTCCATGTAGAACACCATCTTTAAAATTCCATAAATGTTCTTTAGTGTTAATTTACTATAAGAAAAACAATGTTTGCTGCCTTTCTCATGGTTCAAGCAAGTTACAGGAATGCTTCTTTTTTATTTCAAAAGCCCTGATGGATTTTAAGCTCATTTTTACAGTTTTGACAACAATGAATTTTTTTTTAAAGCAGAAAAAGCAGAAATATACCTTTTATATGGCTGATTTCTAAATATCCTTAATAAATAATAAAGTTATGAGGATCTGTATATTAGAAAGTCTAAGAAACTTTTTATGTACAATGGAATTCTACTGATGTTCATTCATGTTTCCATGTACCATAAAAAAGCTTAAGCTTCTAATACTGAATTTTATTTCTTCTACAGCTGCAAATTTGTAAATGCAAACAGAAAAACTGTTAAATGTTTCTGAAACATTAATGGGATGAGCCTCTTTTAAAGAAAATAGGCACTTGACAGAGATTTAAAACCGAATGTTGTTGCTGGATCATCTGTGGTTAGATGAAGACTTGTTTACCTATGTTATCTGATGTCAGCTATATAGTTCTATATAATCTGCTGCATTCTCAGCTATTCACATTATTGATTTAAGTAGCTTAGTGCTGCCCCACTGAAGATACTTTAACAAATTTAACAAGTGGTATTAGCAAAATTCATGCTGTTTGAGAATTTTTGTTTTATGTGGCTGTGAGAAGGAAGTTAATGGCACAGTCAGTTCTATCAGCAATACGTAAACCTACATTGTCTTTTCTGGTTTGGTCCAAATCCACATGTTCTATTATAATTTCAGTATAATTTTCATTTTCACAGCAAAAATACCGTTGTTAATTGTCTGGTGGCAACTGATACAATATTCTATCACTGTATTTGTAGCTTGCAAATATACATACAAAGTATACATATTATCAAATTTGTACATATATTATTAAAATCAAATTCTGTTACTTCCAAAGGAAGAAACAATTATCTGTCAGTCTTACACACATTAATCTTATTAACTACCAGGTTCCCAATTATAAAACTGCATTTTTCATTAATAAATCCCATCTAATTCCTTATAACCTGATTCAGAAAAATTACCAATTCTGCTGTAAGCACAGACCAAGATAATACTACTCAGTTCTGCGTTTGCATTTCTTAATAATTTTCATGTGTGGGCATGCAATTCAGTAAATAAATTAAGGAATAGTAAATAAATTAAGGAATAATAAATAAATTAAGGAATGGGTGGTGAATTTTATGCCAAATTCTTCCCCTGTAGATTTTCTTGAAGTAGGTCAGCTTACAAAATCTTGCTGTTTTTACAGTTATTTCATTAGCCTATAGGCACAATATTAACCTACCATGACTGTCTGCAAAAATCAGCTTCTATGCTATAGTGATATTTGATATCCAATAGTAAGAAATAACTAAGCAGCATATTTTTAGAAAATACACGTCCATGTATCATGCTTCCTTGCTTCTCTGCTTTTGAGTTTGAAAATATACTGTCTGAAAAAGAATGTTCCCAAGATTTATTATGTACTTGTTCCTTTTTCCAAGCCTTATTTTTCAAGATAATTTAAAAGCTCATTTTTCCCTTCTCTGCTGGCAAAATTGGTTGGTTGCTTTGACTGAGAAAACTATTGCCTTTCACAGAAAGCTTTTGATTTGGTAAGTTGTATTTATTGTGGGAAGGACCTTGTACCCAGCAAATTCAGAGATAGGAGATTCATTCTTTCAACTGATAAAACTACAACAAGTAGTTAGGCAGCTCGTTGACTATAATCTACCCTAAAATAATGTTTGGGCTGGAAATATGACCACAAGGACACCTTCATACTGTTTTCAGTAACAAATACACCATAGTATAAAAAGCTCTATATTTTGCTTCCATTTGAAAAAAAATGCACAATTACTAGTTATGCAAAACTCCTTATTTGTGTTTTTATCAAATAAGAGAATCTTTTCTCATTGGTACTGCCCAAGCAGGACAGCACTTAAAGAGATATTTAGTGAATTGTTTAATTTGAAGCACTTTTACCACCAGAGGGATGACTGAATTTCTGGAGCTTTTAAAGACTTATTCAATTAACAAAGAATTTGGTTGTTCTCATGTTTCAGGTGGAATTTAACAACTAAGAATAGATGGCAGAAGCAACTGTCTTCGTGATTCTAGCACTGTCAAAATAAACCCAGGATTTTTCCAGCAATAAATGTTTCATCTGTATTGATCTCTAAGTTTCAGATTTTTAACCACTTTTTGTTTTCTTTTTTTCTGAATTCTTCATGGTTTCATCCCTGACTGCACTCTGTGACGAGATTTTTTTTTCCTTCATGTGACTTCCAATTTCATCTCCACAGTTTCACTCCAACTATATTTTTTTTTGAGCACACAGCATATACCTTGGAGCATCTCCTGTTCTCTTATGCCACTGTGCTAGGATCCCAATAAAGACCAGAAATCCTCAAGAGAAATTGATATCAACAGCTTCCCTAAACCCTTCATCATTTCTTGGCTGCCTAAGACTACATTAGTCTGGGAAGAACCGTTTATTGCTTTATAATGATCTCAAACACAACTCAAAAAGCTCTAGTGATTACCCTTTCTCATAAAGACTGATTTAATGCAAAATATCCATATATGATTAATAGCATTATGACTACTACATCTCTGAATATTCCTCAGTTTTGGTGAAATGAGTCTGTTTTGTTCCTACTCCTTGTGGATATCAAAAAGAAGTGGGAATGGTTTGGTTCATTTTAGTGCTGAGGGAGGTGCCAATTTATTCACACTAAGCAAATGTTATTTACTGAATTAGAGTCTCTCTCTAGCAATGGCTTTGCAGATTTTTAGATGATTGGTTAGCAACTGAACATAAGGTGCCTGTGATACTCTCAGAGAAATGACCTAATTTTCTATTTCTTGGTGCAAAAGTGTTTTCTGGTTTCTATCAAAACAAGCCTTCCATCTGGGTGAACAGAACTGTCCATTAAAGTAATCATTCCATCTGCAGCACTGATGTAGCCATCCGTGAAAAACATCTGGCTCTTGCTAGCATAATACCTGAGTTTTGGATTATTTCTAATCCATCTATTACCATGAGAGATATGAGAGACCTGTTGGGAAGGATTCAGGCAAAGAAGATGGTACTGAGTTGCTGGGCAGGTTATTCTGTGCAGCACCCAGAGGTTCTGTTTCTTCCTTCACTGATGACCAAACCAGTGGCTTGGCCAACAGTCTACTAGGTATGCACTCATCTTTCATTCCCTAAGTCCCAGGTTCTGCAGTTTAGATAAAGTCAGAGAGATTCTTTATTTCATGTAATGCCGCACAGAAGAAATACATGCATGGGTTAGTGTGGGTGCTGGAAACATCTCTCCACCTTAGTGAAGCAATGCCTTCAGATTAGTATACTTCTGTACAGCTCTGTAGCATTATATTATGATTATGTGACTTGCCTAAGGAAATCTGTGGCAGAATAGTGATTTCCTAGTTCCTAGACACTTATTGGGCCTCTTATTTCATTGAAAGATGAACCAGTAAGTCTAGCTGGTCTATCCTCCAACATATGTCTGGAGGAATATTAAAATTAATCTGGTATGTTTCAAATTTATCAGCCTTGCAGACACAGCCAGCAATGGGAAACCAGAGCTGAATTCTAAAATTATTCAGAAAAAGAGGGAAAGCTAACCATTGGAAGAAAATAGAGATAGCAGCACATCAGCATGTCTTCAGTCTTCATAAAGGTAGTCCCTCTTATGCTGCACTCCAGCTTTTACAGTTAATTCCGTTCAGCAATTCTTTGGCACATGATACATAAAAACATATGTTACCATCTTACACTAAATAATATTTTAAAATGAAGTTAAGAAAGAATGCTGTTTATTCTTTGTGAATGCCTTTTTGAGCTAATAGCATTATTTAAGAGAAAAACATGGTTACCATGGCTTTATTGGAGTGGCCTCCTCCTTGGAACTCAATGGTTCCAAAAGCGTCCGTCGGGCTGAGCTGCGTGTGCTTGCTGATGGACCACTTCTCTGACTGGATGTCATTGCGAGTAAGCCTGCTCTCATTTTTCTCATTCTGAATTACAGAGATGCTTGGAGTCAGTCCAACATGTTGACCTATTAGACGCCCACAGCAACACCTATGACATTAACCAAACAGAAAACTTCAGTCACGTGCATGTATAAACTGAACAGGGAAACAATCTTAAATGGCCTACCAATCTTTAAAAAAAAGCCAAAACCTTTTCAACTCTGCTGACCAGTTTCCTGCTATATGAACTCACTTCTTCTGGAAGAACATACTACCTTTTCTTTCAATGATCTTGGTTACTTTGGACTTTCCCTTATTTCAATAAGATCATGTTCTGTTCTAAATATGCACAAATTGAAGGTAACACTTTCTACTGTCTTCAGCTGACATAAGGCCAAATAAACAGGTTTTGCATGGAGTTGCATTTTAAATTGGTAGTTCCCTGCAATTATTTTCTTTTGACAGTATTGACTGTCATGCATCCAATTTAGGTAAATATTCAAGACACTGTATATTGAACTAAGAAGATAAGGATATCAAACATAGATACTGATCCACCTTTGATTTTCCTTTTTTTTTAATTTAGAATGAAATAAGTTTTGAACTGACACTATTGTGTCTCTACGAATCCATCACTCCAGATGTAATTCCATCATCTTTTGACCAAATAAGTCGTTCCAAACTATTTATCTTCATATACATGCATATGCACACGTATATATAGGCATTTTCTTGCAAATTACTTTCATTTTTCATACAAGTAGAATGCAGTTACCTATGGGGGTCTTTGGTGCTGGGTATGATATGAACACATTCTCTCTTGTAAAATGCTCTTTCTATCCATGATTTCTGTGCCTAAAAAAAAAGGAAAACACCATGAGCAATGTTTGCTTATTAAACACATCTCCTAGTACAATTGAAGAGAATCTTCAAACATAAAAGAAAATTTCACTGACTTTGCAGATATGCAGTACACATTCTGTACAGAGCAAACATTTTCCATTAGAACTGCAGTTCCCTTCTACAGTTAAGCACCCAAAAAAACCTCTTAAGATTGTTTTTATATTCACTAGCCAGATGACTTTGATGCGTGCTGTCATCCATATTCTCATAGCAGGAATCACTGGAGAAGAACTGATTCCAATTGCAAAGCTTTCTGCATGATAGAGAAAAAACACACCTATTCGCTGAAAATAGTTAAACAAATCTATTTCCATTCTAGTGATACAACTAAGTCAATTCTAATTTAAAAAAAAAAGAATAACCCTAGAAACTAGAAAATAAATATCTCACAATAAAACTTTTAATACCATAATACCAAAGAACTGAGAGTGCTGTTTAACATGGAGCCAGAACCAGCTGATGTAACCTCTAAAACTGAGTTCAGTGAAGCTACACTCCATATCTTCCCCCACATATTCGCAGAAAATTAAGTAATTTTTCTCAACATAGTCTTGATTTTCAGTTACACAAGAGACTATTTTTAAAAGAAAGATGGGTAGGAAGGAAAGTAAAAAAAAATCTCAAAACAACAAAAGAGACTTTCAGAGTTCTGAATTCTTTTTAATTATCTAGATAGTTCTCACTCCATAAAAATGAATTCTGGCAAGCTCTCTAAAAGATTTCTCCAGATAGAATTAACTTATTTCATTTAATAAGAATATGAGCTGAAACTTCCATTTAAAAATTCATTTCAAACAGGTAAATTTTAGAGAATGTATTTACATAATAAAATTACCTGTTTAATTGCACAGCATAAACAGAACTATAAAATATGAACTATGACAAAGTTATCTGAAAGATAAGTAACGTGAAATGAGCTTTAGGTAATTGAAAGGAAACCTGAGCATCTTGCCTCAGAAAATATGAAAATGTCTTTATGACATTGCCTAACTAATGTTACCTTTTCCCATGTAAGGTTAGATAGTAACCTATTTATTACCTTTACTAACTAAAGTTACCTTACTAAGTATCTGGTGTTACCGTGTCAAATTAATCTCCATCCTCTTTTTCATGTTTAAACCCAGAAACCTAGTACAAATTGAGAAACGCCATAATAAGAATTTCTAGCTACATTCATTATTTATCACTCTCAGTACATAAAAAATATTCTATTACCTTTTTCATTGAACATAATCCCTTACTGGATCTAGTGGTCACTCCTGTAACATAATAATATTTTATCTTTGCTCTACTTGTATTTTTATTCGAAATAGTTGCTAGACTTCATGTTTTGTAGGAATGGCAGACACCCTACCATGACTTTTACAGTCAGGAAAAAAAATAGATATTAAAAACATTAAATAGAACTGCATCTGATTCTTTCTTCATTACTGCTGCAAACAGAAAATTATTTATAGAATACGGGGCAAGGTTTGTTTCATGTTTAAGCAAAAACCAGTTAATTAATAATTCTGAAAAATCTAAAAAAGTTTCACTTTATGTAGGGGCGATTATCTTGAAGTTCTAATTTATAACAACTTCTAGATGCTTACGTGCTTATGGTGCAGGCAATAATCATCATCAATCATCATCTTTACAATATTTTATATTATGCTGTCAAATAACCCTAGAATTCTAGTGTATCATCTAGTAATTGGCCAATTTAGTAGTCTTTTCAGGCAAAGAAAGGCTTTTTATAGACTTTCTAGAACTCCCAAGGCATCCAGAGTGAACTTGATGAACTTCATTTGACCCTCTTATGCAGACTTTTTGAAGCTGAACTACATGAGGAAAATTAGGCTTTTTCTTTTTGTTGACTGTGTAGAGAAAGAAAGGAAGTTACAACTATTCTGGTATTGCAGTGTTAACATTTGAAATAACATACTTCACTATGCACCATACACTCTTGAAATTTCTCCTCCTCAAGCTCCCAGAGTATATAAGCTTTCTTTATCACCTTAAGAACACACACTGATAAGAAGCAGCAGATTTATAGATATCCTGTGGTGTGTATATATATACATATATATATATAAACCATATATATATACACAGTAACTTTTTGACAAAAAAGGAACACTTATAGAATAATGCCAGTTTTATCTGCATGCTTGTTTAACACTAAACACATGCCTGAAACATCCTTTATCTTCTCTAGGAAACATGAAAAGTTTTTAGAATACAACTTTTCTTCAGAATATCCAAAATCAGCTCCTACTGCAAAGCTTACATAGCATATGATCATCATTTATGTTGCCAAGACTCCCTAAAAATATCCTTTATTAAATTCCATAAATTTTGCATACTTTTTTGCAGTTAATTTACTTTGATGAATTTAGTTACTACATAGACCTAATATATCTTTCCTAAAGATGGCCAGTAATTCAATTTCTCTAAGCTTCAAGATCCATTACAAAAAGGTGCCATAACAGGTACTTCACTAAAATGTTTTTTCTTTAGGTATACAAGCATGTTTTCAAAACCCAAGAAACTGACATTTAAAATTTGTTTTCCTACTCTTTTTGATACTGTCTTTGCAAGTAGAAAAGAAACCCAGGTATGTTAAATACAATATTTTGCATTTGAATTTTCATCATACTTTTTCAAATGTAATATTGCAAAAATAATAGCCTGATTTAAAAAGACCTTTGTCCACATCAGGAAAAAAGATCTTCCAGCTTTTATATCTCAAAAAATATACTCTCCCACTTAACAGAATCATAATGCCAAAATACATGATTTACTCATTTCATAATTCCTTTCCCTTCCAAACTAAAAAGAAAGCATCTGGTTTCACTGCCCAATGCCAGTTATCTTTCTGTGACAGAGACAATTTGCAATGAAAGTCCAGAGGTATAGAAATTATGTTACTTGTCCTAGAGTCTTCATAACAAAATTAGAATAACTTGTGGAAATCAACACATTCAAGACAAAACAGTCTGCATTAAACTCTTGTTTATAATGTGTATTAATAAAGTAGTAAAAAGTTTAGGAATGTATAGGAAAGTTTTTAAGAACAGTGGAGCAAGAAGCTTATCTTGTCTTTCTCTTATTTCATATAAACTCCTTTAGCATTAATTCATAAAACAATGTAAATCCCACAATGAATTCCTAAAGTAAATGCCATACTTATACTAGGATTTAGTTTACTTAGATCTATAGGTTAAGTCTCTCTCTTTACTAATGTAGCTGCAAAATCCCACCAAGAACATTTTTCTCCCTCTTCTTTACCTGAGCATCAAACTTGGTGTTTAAGTCTGTCCTGGAGCAAACTCTGCTGTCCACATTTCCCTGTTGCTGGTCATTGCTAATAACACATTTGTGACCGCCCCCTGAACAAAGCGCTCAGTCCATCCGCAGCACGGAGATGTGAGAGAGACCAAAGCTCTTGTGCCCATTAGCTGCTTGGAATGTGCTGCTGTGGGATTAGCCTCATTAAGGGTTCAGTGGATGCTTACCCGCAGCCCCACAACATCGTTTGGTTTGAACATTTAATCTGATGCCAAAAGAAAAACAAATTCTCTGAGAGCTTGGATTTAACTGGCAGAAGTCCTGATGGGCTTTTCCCCACCCCCACCCCCCCACCCCCCTTCTTTCCCTCTTAGAGAACGAGCTTGTGAAAGTGTGATAAGGTGCTCTGAGTTCTTAAATTCAATCCAGGAAAACAAATCTTTCAAAAGAAACAGTGTACTAAGCTGGAAAGAACCTGAGCACACAAGAGAGGTTGCTAATCTCCAAAGAATGAAATCAGTGTGTTTATTGGGTAACTGCAAGAAATCTATACACAGTTGAAATATATTGCAATTAATCAACATGGCATTTTTCCAGAGAAGCTGGGGTTTCTTCTTGTTTCTCAACACAGTTGCTGTACTGTAGTGAATGTAATTTTTCAGACAGTCATAAGCATAAATCTTTGTCTTTCAGAGACAAGCAACTGCACTGTTTTCAGCTTAACTGGAAGTTAGTAACTTGAAAAGCAACTTGAATGCTTACAAATTTGGAGACTACTTCTTTACTGTTCCATTTTGATATCAACACTGAAGAACAACCTTCCCTATAAACAAAACTTAAAATTTTTTAGTACACAGCAAATATATGTGTTCAAATACTTACTTCAGGAGTTTTCCAAATATAAAATATTTTTACCCCCCACCCCAACTTCACATGAATTCCTCTCTACTCCTACATATGCATACATACCCTCCTTTACTTTTCAATAAGGCTGCATCTAACTTATAGAGAATACGCTGTTCACCCTTGGCACTGATGAATACACAAGCACTAAATTACTCTGCATGTACTGTAGCTCTGAAGGGCTAGGATGGGCAAGACCCAGCATATGCATTAACTTCTAAACTTCTTATACCATCGCACATATTAAGAAGCTTCTGCTAGGCTGGTTGATCCATGAGATTTCTTTTCTTTCTTGCGTTTTTGTGTAAAATACATACACGTATTTTTTATGTAAATTATATATGAGGTATGTGCATATACCCATTTTGTCTGCGTATATATGTATATATACGTATACATTTTGTACCGGCAAAGCTGTGAGATTTCTCTACCACGCAGTTCAGAGCAACAGAGACCATGTGCACATCTTGTGAGATCTCTTTAGCACAGGATCGGACCAAAGATGGTTGGTGGAGATCACCAAATGCAAAGAAAGTTGCAGTGCCAAGAGAGCAGCTAGTAAACAGCTCAATGAGGCAAAGAACACGACTGGGGAGTCAGCAAGAAAAGACTGCTTGCATGTTAATATAAGCGAATTTAGTTTGTTTGAGAGGGTGAGGAAAGAGCGAGGG